ATGATCATTAACCTTTTCTCTTCACCTCTGCCTTCGGCTGCTGCCATCAGTTGCTCATCCTCATCTGCTAAATCATCCTCTTCATCCAAATCAAAATTCTCTCGACCCAAAATTTGATTGGCGCGAATTGGTATTGCCAAATGAGCTTCCTAAACAAAACAGAAAAAAATAACGAATGAGTTTATGATTAGAATTTGATTAGCCCTGACATTGTTAGCAGTACAAAATACAACGAACTCACATCTATTAAAGGTTCACCAAAGTTGATCACCATATTGTGTAGAACAAAGCAAGCAGCTATATGATCAACAACATTCCGTGGGTTTCTTGCATGCATGAACTTCAAGCGTCTCCACTTTGCTTTGGCAAGTCCGAATGCATTCTCAACATGAACTCTACACTGAGATAAAGATCGATTAAATGCAAGTTGTCTTCCAGTAAGATGTCCGTTATTCTGAAAAGGTTTCATCATCTGCAAAAAGGAAATGTAGAGTCAAAATATAATGCCACAGTAATTAAGAAATTAAAATCAGTAAACCTCAAGCAAACTTACAAAATCAGTTAGTGTATAGGCACCATCTCCAACCAGGTGCTCATCAACGTTTCTGATTATGCCTGGAGCTCTATGGAGTAGATCTCTATACAAGTCGCTTTTACGAAAGACCCTGGCATCATTCGTACTGCCAGCCTCACCAACATGAAGCTGGCGGACTAAAAGGTTATTGTCAACTACAGCCTGAACGTTGATGCTATAAGTATGGTGCCTGTTCACATATTGCTGGGAATCTTGAACAGGGGCAGTGATATAGACATGTGTACAATCGATACAGCCTATAACACCTGGAAAACCAGTAGCCCTCTCAAAGGTGTTCTTGATGACCACTCTTTCCTCTTCGTTGGGCCAACAAATATACCTGGCCGACAGCTCTCGAAGTGCTTCTATTATGTAAATGTAGAAGTAGTACAAGGTACTAGGCACCACGCCAAAGCGTAAAGCCACACTCCGGAAGGAATCTGGGGTGGCAAGTAGCCACGTAACCATAAGCATGATATGGATAAACGGGGTTCTCTCTCTCTGAAGTCGGTTTTTAGAAACAAGATGCTCCCTAACTGTTGCACAAACAGTCTGAAAGTTTAAAACAAATGGGAAAACAATTAGGACATATTTTATAAGCACAGATATACAGCATACACAGGTAGTCGCCTAACCTCAAAGACAGCCTTCGTCATTCTGAAATGCAGTTTGAAACACGGATCTCCCATGTTGAGATAGTCGTCCAGGTTAACGCTGACGTGCACCCACGACGCCTCCCCTCCTTCTGCAAAAAACGATGTCGATAAGCTGAGGAATACACACGTGAGTATAACAGGGTTTAGTACCACTTCCACAGTTACTCACCTAACACAAAACCTTCTTCAAGTTCCATAATTTCTTCAGCAATGACAGCAGCAACAACTCGAAGTATTTCCTCATGCTCGAGTTCTTCCTCTTCAACAAGGGCCACCGTAAGCCCTATTATTTCCTGCAACTGTTCAAAATGCCCCATATCGAGATCACAGACGCGCCGAGAGTTAATGTCAGCAAAACGCAGACGAGGTCCAAGCAAACTTCGAGCAAGGTTGCCAGTAGGTTCGGTTGGTTGGTTAGTCCGGTCGGTTCGGTCCGGCCCGAACCCGAGCTCTCCCCCCTACCCGCTTCGGCTTCGGCCCACGGTCACGGACGGAGGATACAGCTTCGGCCCTCGGCCGCCGACAGTCCGATCCCCCCTCCACCCGCCAGTTCCCCTCCTCGTGCCTCCGTGCCCCCACTCCTCACTCGCAGTACCCTCCCCACACCCCGCGCCCGCCGCGCCCGCGCCGTCGTGAGCGCGCGCTTGCTCGGGCGCTCGCTCGGGCGCGGAGCGTCCGTTCCTTACTGGATATAACACGGCCTGTTGACGAAGAGACGGGCCGGTCGGAGCGCCCAGGCGACGAGCGCTCGCTGGCTGCCGGGTGGAGCGCGCCCACCCGATGCGCATCTCTGACTTCCGGGCTATGAAATGGACTTTTTGCCTTGGCCACTTCAGCCTCTAATAAAATCTCAAGAAAGTGGCGGAAGGCGAAGTACCTGCAGCTGCCTTGGCTGCCGCGGTAGAAATAGTATGGTCAACGTTACTGTAGATTGCTCTATGTGAGTTTTATGTCTCGATACGAAGAAAAAAAATACGTGGCCACGTATTTGAGTTCCTTACAACGGCTGAATGCTTTTGAGCCTTGCCTCAAGAATCTGACAGGATTTTGTTCTGTAAATTTTATAGTGGAGCCAGTCAACGTGTGGATTTGATGATCCCAATACACCAGGGATTA